TTACTTCAGCATTAGTTCAAATACAAGAACTCGTGGCCATAGGTGGAAATTAGCGGGAGAACATTTCAAACTGGATTTAAGGAAGCACTTCTTTACACAGCGTGTAGTCAGAGTATGGAAAGTATGGAATAGTCTTCCTGATAACGTAGTGCAAGCTGAATCCTTGGGTTCCTTTAAATCAGAGCTAGATAAGATTTTAACAACTCTGAGCTATTAGTTAAGTTCTCCCCAAGCAAGCTCGATGGGCCAAATGGCCTCCTCTCGTTTGTATAGTTCTTATGTAACACCTGGCTGCATCAGATGAATGGCCATTTCTGGAGGGTGGGACCGGACCATGTATCTGCCTGGGGGATCGCCAGCTGGGATCCCAAGGAATTTCACTGTGTGATGGGTACAGCAATGTATTGCATCAGCACATACTCCCCAACCTGACCTGACCTGACTAAATTTCTTGACAAACTGGATTTACCCTCTGTCTTGCCAATGGATCAATTTATGCTAGAAGCCCCAATAGAACTGGAAGAACTACATGAAGTCTTGAAATGTTTAAAAAAAAAAAAATAAAAAAATCACCTGGCTTAGACGGCCTTCCACCCAAGCCCTACTTAGAACTCTGGGATTTGGTAGGTAGTCCTATACTCAAAATTTAATCAAATTTAATTTTGCGATAGAAAAAGGGACTATCCATAGGGATAAAAAATCCACACTCATCACTGTACTTTTAAAAAAGGATAAAGATCCCACTGAGTGCTCCAGCTATAGGCCAATATCCTTAATCTCATAAAATATGCCAAAGTTATCACTTTATGTCTTGATGAGGTTATTCGCTCACTAATTAGTGTGGATCAAACAGGATTTATGAAAGGACGAGTTGCATCTGATAACCTGTGAAGATGATGCATTTATAATATGTAACAAAGTGCGCAGTATTCTCTGTCAACGCGGAAAAAGCATTTGACAGACTGGACTGAATATATGTGGACGGTATTACAATGATTTGGATTAAAATGTAATTTTATTACAATGCTCAAAACACTATACCACTCACCTCTTGCAAAAGGGAAATTAATGTCTTCTCTATTTCTTTTACAGTGAGGAAATACAGGGTTGCCCACTTTCACTGCTTTTATTTTGTTTCTCTCTAAAACCCCTGGCACAAGCTATAAAACAGTCTGATGTTTGCCCTGTGAGAATTAGGGGTCATAAACATGTCATAGCTATGTATGCAGATGACATTGTCTTGTTTTTGGATAACTTTGACATTTCCATTCCCATAATAATAAAGGATTTGACCACTTCAGTAGTTTTTCTGGTTATAAAATAAATTGGACAAAGTCTGCCCTAATGCCAATGAATAAGTACTGATAACTCTGCCCCCCCCATTTATTCAAATTAAAAACTCCTTTACATACCTGGATATTACTTATTTTATGTATTTTATTGCAAATTGTAACTATTTTTATATCGTATTGAACAAAGTAAAATCAAATAATTTTAGATGGAGTAAACTGAAAATCTTTCAAGGCCGAATCTCATGATTCTTAGGAATCTTCCGAGAGAAACTTTGTAGGGTTTCTGTGAACATCCTCCACAAAATTTAATAAATGTTCAAAGCATATATCAGAAATATTCCCATTTATCAATATAAGACTATACACAGTGTGCTAACTTATTTATTCTATAATTTCAGATTTTCATAAAAATACACCACTGTGAAATATGTGGGATTTCTGCATACATCCATACAAACTACAAAATTTAGTAACTTACGTTATTTCACAAAAAAAGGTTCACATGTGAATTTGCACAGAGATAGTCAATATATATATTTCCAGAATATCTGAAAGCGGCTACACTGGGTTTGAGTATATAGGTGCAAATCTCTGACACATATGTGCTGCACCCCAGGGCTTGTAAACCTTGGTAGATGATATAAAAGCCAGACAGCCTCTTTGTCTTTAATCTGCATCCTCTTTCTCTAAGAAGTCAGTCAGAGTTCGACTGTCCACAGGGATAAGCAGGTATTCCACACCATCAGCACCCTACACAAGACAGCAAGCATCATAGTAGCTTCTATTAGCTTCTGTTATATTCATGTCCAAAACTGCTTGTTTAAACTCAGTTTTGCATATCAAATACAGTAAATTATCAATAGTAAAAGACACATTGTTCCTAGTCTAAAGATCAGATACTTACTTTTTTAGTGCGAAGTAGTTTGTGATCCCTAAATTCTGTCAGTTGTGTCCTCAGGGTGATGTCACTATTTACTAAGAATGCTTCACGACAACGTTGGTAAAAATCTTGGAAAGACAACCCTGTGTACACAAATGCATTGTTACTTATATACACATAATTTCACTGCAGTTTAAATATTACAGTTGATCAATGCCATCTCTCCAGTCAGCTTAATGTGTAGCATAATGAAGTTCCCATACAGGTCGTCTTTGTCTTGCTGAAAGTAGCTTTGTATTAACTAATAATTCAATGAGTTCGAGGTGAAGATGGAACAACACTTGTGGGACTTACCTGTATAAGATGGGTTATTCTTGTTCTCCAGCTGAAACCCTGCTAGCAATCTGAAGATTCCTCTAGGAAACAAATCAAAGGAATCAGTTTCACAGAGCGAGACAACAGTCCTAGGACAAGTGGCAGGGTGAGTGAAAGCACGGAGATGCACAATATTTACCAGTTAATGTATCGGTATAGGCTGATGTGTTAAAAATCAAGATACACGTTAGCAATTAATCAAATTTCAATTCTGATTTTAGCTTCCAACAATTAATACAAAATAATCAAGATAAAACTACTGTGCCGCATTTCACTTTGCAATGATGCTCCCATTTTGTGTTGTATCATAAATCCAGTGCACCCCTTTCCAGACCCTTTTTATTTGCTTCTGAGGTGAATTCTATTTAGAGTTCAAAGAATTCCAATGCAAAAAAAAGTTTACGGTTCAATAAATATTTCCAAAATCAATTAGTAATTGTGGTAAATAATCGTGATTATGATTTTTGCCAGAATTGAGTAGTTCTAATATTATTATTGGTCCAATGTGTCAGTCTTCGCCAATATTGCCGGCTGACATTTAAATTTAATCAGTATTCAAAGTTAGCAGGACCAGAGCTATTCACAAGACATATTACTACTACTACTAGGACAACATATTTATAAAACATACAGTCGGCTCCAGTTAAGTGCACGTCGCTTAAGCGCACAATCTGCCTAACTGCACGACCGGTCTTCGGTCCCGTTTTTAGCCCAGCCAAGAGATAGGCAAATTACATCGGTTAAGCGCACCAGTGATAAGCGCACAATCCGCTTATGTGCACGCACTCATTTGGTCTGGCCTGCATGTGGCTAATGCATATTGAGTTTCGATATCTGCACGCCTAAAATCTCTAAAATTTGTCTACAGTTTAGTGAGAATATGGCGTCGACATACTATTCTGCATGTGGACTCCCTCCACATGCAGAAGGTGGTGAGGAATTGTGTCACTTCGCAGATCATCGCTAATTGCTACAGGTGGGGCGGTTTCGTCAAAGATATGACCGATGACGGCGTCGAAACGGGCGGAGGAAACTGACACCACTGCCGATCTACCGACGGGTGTCACGCCACAGGGGTTCGCAGCGTACGTCGCCGTTGATAATGACCTGCCTGTATCGCCCGATCTCACAGATGCCGACATCTGTGCCGACATGTGGGGACCGGCAGCAGACGCTGATGAGTCTGATGCGGAGGAGGATACCGCCGGGCAGACTGACGCTAATGACTGCCCCCCGCCACCACCAGTGACGTTCGCCGACGCTCTTCAAAGCCTGCGGACGATTCGTGCTTACCGGCGGCTGCGACGACCACGGAGCGATTTACGGACTAACAGATCAGTTGCACGCACTAAATCGTAAAAATAGCACTCAAAAGACGATTAAGGACTACTTTTCGTAGCGTTAAACACAACATTACGCGTTATGTGCTTGGACTATATTATGCTGTCATGCTTGCCGTCATTGCGGTATGTACAGAACATGTTTTGCTGATTGAGATTCAGTGTGTAGTTCTTGTAGCGTCAGGTTTGTAGCGACGGGTATGGTGGGGATGCACTTGATAACCACGTGGCTGGGTCAATACGGATAAGCGCACGCTCCGTTTAAGTGCAAGTTGTAGTCTGGACCGGAGGCTGTGCACTTAACCGGATTCGACTGCAAGTACTAAAATAATGGAGATGATTGCGTTTAATGGTCAGCCATATTCCGGAGGACAAGGGACTTTGTCCACTCAAATCACCACTTAGGAGTAGGGTCAGCACTTTCAATGTGAAGGAAGAAGTGGCACCACCCTCCCCACCCAGGTCCATGATAAAATTTGGTGGTGGGGGGGGTCTCCAGTCTCCAAGAATAAACTAAATTTGCATTGAAACGGGCCACACCACAAGATGGTTTTATATGGCCTGCAACAAGATTTTAATTCATTAAATCTGGCTTGTAGATAATTTTTTAGTTTTCCACAGCATAAAAAATGACATCAGTCCAGTAATATGCATTGGTGTGCTGCCCACCCCCAGCCCAATAAGTACCTAAAAGAGTGTTAGGGAGCGGCACGTTGTTCCACCCACCACACAATAAACCAAGACCTGAGCAGCCGCACAGCAGGTAATATTTCAGCACCACACTAGTCTGGATGCAACAGTGTGAGTTTGTTCCAGTGGCTGGAGTGCCAATCCCGCCACCAACTGCCAAATTTTCCTTGGAAGTTAGAGGACCTGCTTGCAGGGCTGGATGTTAACGTCACACCCAAGATGAAGCAATTGCATGTTAAGGGCCTTCCTTAAGGGCGCAACAGAGTAGGATCACTCCTTGCATTCATGGAATTCGAACCAGCAACCTTCCAATTACTGGAACAGATCCCTAGCCTCAGAGGATTGAACAAAATTTCTAAATGAAAGACCACATGTCTAAAGTGGGCATGTTTGATTACCTTGCATTCGGAGTCAGGCTGCGAAGAACATGCGTGAGTGAGCTAAGAGCCAGAGCTCCAGACTGCTGCACTAGAAGCGAGTTCTCATAGGACGTCTCCTCAACATACGGCAAAAAAGTGGTCGTCTCATACCACAGCCAATTGAAAAGGCTCATCTTGGACTGATCCCAGACTAAACTCAGAGAATATCATTAAATAAACATCAACAAATTTCAATATAACTGCTTAAACCATTTCAGTGACTGAGGCAAAACTGACCAAGTGGGCCATTGATGTGGTCAATAGATGCTAAGAAGTGCATGTTGGGAAGTGAGGCAAGTTGCCCCAATGCCTGCTGGGTCTTCTTAGCCCGCAACATTGGCCCATCGATATTGTGGATGATAAGGTAGACCTGCAAACTGGGCTCTGGTAGAATTTTACATGAAAGTTAGTAGCTTAACATCAAAAGGAATCAAACATTCACATTCTCATCCCAAACAATGACACAGCCAATAATATAAGAGTCACTCATTCTCAGTAGAGTTGAAGATTCGAATAAGATTCCCATTGGTCTGCTATCTTGCTAAATGCATCACATCCTAATACAAAGTAAGCATGTCCACAGGGGCATCTACAGTCTGAAGACAAATATGTGTTGGTACAGAGCACCTTGCCTCAGGGATTGTACAATGAAGTCCATCTGTTCCATAAGACTTTGGAAACTTCCCTGGTGCTCCAGCAGCTCCTCTGTGATGGAGCCTAGGATCTAGAGGAGGAAAGACTGTCAGGGCAAGTTTTCTGGGTTAGAAAGCCTCATAGTGAGCACTGGAGCCTGACTTACCGACTTGAGGGTAATGCTTGGGAAAAAACCATTGACCACCAGGTGAGTAGTGTCTTGTAACATGGTGGTTCGGAAAGTTTCCAGCAGCAGTTTCTTGGATCCCAGTCCATAGAATAGCAGATTGAAGCCCAACCTGCCAGAAAGAGAACCATATCTCTACTACTCAACAGACCAAAAGGTCTGTTTGCCTTTGGACTTAAGAGTTCATATCAGCTGACTCACAAAATTCAAGATAAAAGGAGTCAAAAGTTCAATAAACATCTATGCCTTACTCACTGTAACTGCAGAATCCACTTCCTGAACTGGTTTTCATGCTCCTTGTTCAGTTGCTGGATTTCATCAGAGTAAGGAGGTTTCCCATCCAGAAGTCTATACAAAGTTTCCTAAAACAGTATCATACAGTAACTGGACAGTCACCAAAACTTTTTCAAAAGTGTCGCCAGCTATACACATATGATTGTAATTAAAGACTGTGCAGTACAGAACTACACAAAAACACAAAACAGACAATACAAAAGTCCCAGATATCCATGGGTTCCGAGACCTACTGTGGATAGCCAACACTGAGGATAATGGTAAACCATGAACCCCAGATATGTGATGTTCGTGTACATATATGGTAATTCACAAATTAAGCACAGTAAAACATTAACATTAAATGCAGTAATATCAAAGTACACTGCACATTATTATACAGCACTGTACTCTCCCTCTTGAAAGGGATTTTGACATTTTCGCCTAATTCTCAAGAGACGATAGACTAGAGCTGGGCGATATGGCCTAAAAATAAAATCTCCGATTTTTTCCACAATAAATCCAATTTATGATTTTAAACGATTTTCCCCTCTCCTACTCAAAATCAAACTACAGATCACAAATAAATGGTTCAAAACAAGTTTTAACTTTATTTTGGTTTTTTTTACTTTAGAGTTAAAGTGCAATCTGACAAGCCAAAAAAGATGCTTGCAAGTGAGATGGCAGACCACACCACTGTAAACACTTTTAGAAACTTGTAAAAATTTTAGCATGTTAATGAATCCCAGCTTTTCCACAGTATGTATGGGCACCATGTCTTTTGCAATATACATCGCGACAGCGTTTGTTATCACCTTCCACCGTGCCCCATTTTTACCATATGGCACACAGTTTGAAAACGTGTCAGGGACGGTTGCTTGCTTAACTTTGGATGTTGTGCTGGTGCTGCAGCTATTTTCATTTCACTGGGAGCTGCACTTCTCCCACTCCACTGTGTGCCTCTGCTTTAGGTGCTGGAATAAATTTGTTGTGCTGCTTCCTTTGGTTGCAACAGTTTTTAAACAGACTTTGCAAGAAGGACTTGGTCTGTGTCCGACGGCGCAAAACCGAACCACTGCCATGTTGTTTATGAATCCGATACAGCGTTTGGGTGCGCCGCGCTAATGTACCCGTGAAGAACAGTGCGTCGCATTAGTTCCGCTTTTGGCGCTCGCGTGTAAAATAAGTAATAAAATCGATTTTCATAAAAACACATCGTCCTGAACTGTAAATTTGAATTAATCGATAAAATCGATTTATCGCCCACCTCTACGATAGACCAATAAAAAAAAATGTCATTTATCAAGGGATAATTAAGCAATAAAAATCATGGTTTTTATACCCCACAAAAGATAAAGGAACAATGGAAAAAACACACTCAAACATTTTGAAATTTTGTATTCTGGACCATGGTAAACCACAGGTAAGTGGGTGAATATAAACATGAGTACAGTACTGTGGTGAGCTGTACATATTATGCAGACACAGTTAGCCCTCCAAATCCAGAGGTTATGATTCCAGGACCTCCGCAAATACCGAAATCTACAGATGCTCAAAAAGGTGTAGTATTTTCATTTAATCTATGCATATCCTCCCCTGTACTTTAAATCTCTAGATTATGTATAATACCTAGTACAATGTAAATACTATGTAAATAGTGATGCTGTATTACTTAAATAAAAAAAGTTTGTATATGTTCACTAAAGACTCCACCATAGCAGTATATATAGAAAATTATAGAGAAAATATAAATTCATTTTCTATCTACATACACATAGTGCTCATAGCAAATTCAAGTTTTGCTCTTAGGAACTTTATGGATTTTCTTTTCTTGAATATTTTTAATCTGTGTTGGTTGAATCCACAGATGCAGAAGCCACGGATACAGAGAGCTGAGTGTAAAATATTAAACATAAAAATAAATATTGGTATAAATGGGCAGTACTGTACTTGTGCTCCAAGCGATTTACAGCTGTTTTACTGGAAAAGCTTAGCAATGCTCATTAAGTACTTAATGGTGGAAATGTCATACATTACAGAATGTTGAAAGGAAAACAAAAAGTCAAACCTGGTCCAGCATAGGTGTTTGAAGTCTGTGAAGGGTTCTGTCAGAAGTCATGACCTTTGAACTCCTGTGAGCTTCAAAGTATTCCCCCACAAGACTGGACTAAGAGAAGGCAAAATACAAAAACATTACGTACATTAAGCATACTATGTCTCAATCTAATGAATGACAGAGTGATTGAGTGAATGCACATAACGGAATAAAGTAGTGATGCTTTATTCGTCATGTGTTTCCACCTATCCCACCTTGCTCTCCATGAGACACACAGACACATACATAGGTGAGAGCAAGTCACAGTACAAAGTCAGCCAGCATGCAGTGCCCCTGGATCAAATGGTGGTAAAGGGTCTTACTCAAGGGCTTAAGGCAAAATCCATCTGCTAGCCCAGAATTTCAACCAGCAACCTTCTGATCACTTCTGAGTCCTAACCCGCAGAGGCACACACTACCCCATACCTCCAGACCTTTCATGGACTTCTTCACTGGTGTCTTATACAAAGCTGCAGCCACTAATTTGCTAGGGTTTTTACCTCCAGGTCTGTTATCACAGCCTGGTCAACACCCCCTTCCTCTTCCTCCTCCTCCGAATTGGATGCAGAGACATCACTGTCGGTGTCTGACTTCAGGTTTGGAGCTAAGGATGTAAAGGTGATTCTCTTTTTTATGTTCCTATTTACTGAAAGCCATGAAACAATTCTGATCTATTCATACTTCTGAATTTTACTTTCAATTAGATGACTTTTTATATGCACAAATTATAAAAATGACCCGAATCATCTCCTGTACAATATATATCATAGACAAAATACTGTTTGCAAGTGCATGAAGTAGACCGGGTACCTCAAAAAAAAAAAAAAAAAGTTTAAAATGCAAACCTGACAGCCGCTTTCTTAGTCTATGTGGGGTGCTTGATGCAAACTGCACCCACCTTCCCTATTAAAAAGAAAAACAGAGTTAACTTGAATCAGAATATTTTTTACTATCCCAGAGGAATCTCAGTTAAACATAAGCCAGTGAAAAATCCTATCCATCTTCTGACTACATATCCTGGGTTGGGTTACAGAGGCGCCTAGAATCTAACCCAGGCTGCACCAGACACAAGACCAGGGTATAGCCCAAATAGGATGCCAGTCCTTCACAGGGCACAGGATTTGAACTCCCAACCCAGGGAGGTGCGACTCAAAAGTGATATCCTTCCAAAAAAGATGGCACCAGCACCAGTGCCATGTGCTCAAGAGAGTGCTGAACAGACCTTTGGGGAGGTTTTTCTTTCACTGGTCTGACCTAGAGAGAGAGAGAGCAGTTATTTTCTAAGATTTTTATAAATTACTTCTGCAAACAAAAGACTTACAACGAACAAAAAGTTAGAGACAAAAATGTCTACACGTTTGTAAAGAATTCTCTTATTACCTATAGAAGGGTTGGTGTGGTCCTTTGGGGACGTATGAAAAGAGACCGTCTTTGCTGGTGCATGTGCCCACTCTGATGCTGAGGACACAGAAAAGAGGCATGAGGGTTCTGGAAGTTCAGAAATGTGCAGGTTTGTATGCAAAACAATATGATACTGGTGTTCATTAAGATTAAAATTAATTTGATTGATCCCAGGGGGAATTCTTCTGCATAATGCAGCACATACATAGAAAAACAAAAAATACATACATACACATCGTCACCAACATCAGTGTTACTGTGCATTGCCAACCATTACCTGCTATGCTTCTGGTCGCATAAGGACAACATAAAAATATTAGCAAAATCAAAGGGTCAGTTATTCATATAATTTTAACACAGAGCAAAAGACTAGATAACTAGTGTTAAGCCTCAGGGTGAATCAATGGAGGAGCCACTGACCCATCTGAGCCATCTTGAGTGGACGCTTGATGGTCTGAAATGTGAACACAAAAGACCCTCCTGGGCTAGCTGCACTTTCACCTGCCCCTGGGGAAGACAATGATGAAGCTCAGAACACATCTCATCGATACTAACTAGTAAAGAAATAACATTACAGATATGTTCATTACTTGGTTTGTGCCGTGAATCGGGAAGGAAAAGGGGAAAGCCTATGGAATCTAATGGAAAAAAAGAACTTCCAGTGATCCAATAATGTGCACACGAATTCTCAGGTACACCATACCTGCAGCCTCTGCACCTAGGACTTTTATGTATTCTTGTTCATTGAAGATCTCCTGTTCATCTTCTTGTTCTACAGGAACCTTATCGAGCTGTCCTTTGCAGTTTTTCAGGGATACCAAAGTCTGAACTGAGCTTTTTGTCAACGCAACACCTATAAAGTTACAACAAAATATTTAATGGTATAATTAAATACTGTGGCTAGAACGATTTACTGGTTCAAACCTCGCTTAAATCGTTATCAGATAACTGACCAGCCTACCTTCCTGTTTATCGATTATGTGCTCCAAGACGTCGGCATCCCCCACAAAGCGAACTTCCAGCGCCGAGCTGTGCATGGCACGCTTTCGGGAACTCATGCTTCACTCCGTGACGGTACAATAATGCTGTTTGCAGCTAGCAGTAGATACTATTACACGTCACAGAATCAGTTACGATGTGTTAAAACTAACATAAAATGTTTGCCATTTAGGTCTGCTGAATATGCTGCAGCTAAACTTCAGTTAGCAGCAATTAAACCACACTTAGCCGCTCGAGGGAACTATACTTTATACGCGATAATCTGTATAATCTATTTTTCTCCACATTAAATGCAAAAATAAAGATTGCGCCTAAGAAACTTAAACTATTAGTCTAGAAATATGAACAGCAGGTTCATATATCGATCATGTAACAATTAACTTGCTAACCAGTTAGAACATCTTAAGATAACATTTACTTCAGAGGAATTCAGTTAAAGATCTACACATCTGATACGAAATGAAAAACCTGTTCATCATTAATGATACTGAACTATTCTAATATTGAACTAACCTTACACATATCCGAGAAAGATTTCAAGTATGCCGCCACAGCTTCAGAGTCGGCCTACAGCGTGCTCCTAAATAAAATCAATTTCCCTTGATACGCCACATATACAAGGAAACTATTTCCCGTGATACACCGCAAGAGAACTTCCGGTCTGTCGACGTAGCGAGAGGGTTGAGCTGCATCCGAAATCACACGCTACGACGTAAATGAGGAAAAAGCACGCACTACGGCAAAAATCACTTAGTGCGATCCCTTAATGTGCGAGTAAAAAACATCGGCCGAATCTCAATACACCCTTACCACTAACGTTCCATTTGCGCGTGCACGTGGATGGTTCTCTATATTGAAGTCCATCCCAAACTAACTTAGTGCGAGTGGATTATAAAAACCTCTGATAAGTCTTGGTGTTTCGGGAAATGAAGTATGGCGGAAACATTATATAAATGTAAGTAGTTCCGATCTAATTGTGTGATTTCTTGTAAAGGAATACCTTGCTATATGTATGCATTGCTTAACGCTGCTTTAACAACCAAAATAGTCATATGAGAGTAAAATGGGAAATGAAAGTATTGCTTCAATTTTTAATTTATTTGTTTTCTTTAAAAATCATATTTGTAAAGCTATTAATTTGCAAACAGAATTATATATTCTATACTCTCGATTCTTTCTATCCCGTTACAGTATGCAGGGTCAAGAGAGAAAACAAAAATAATAATAATAATAATAATACATTTTATTTATAAAGCGCTTTTCAAGACACTCAA